CAGCCGATTAAGCGCTCAAACACTAACAAACTGACAAGATCTTTCGCTGTCTATAGCCGGGTACCCATTCCCACCTGGGTGAAGTGAGGACAATTCGTGTAAAGTGCCTTTCCCAAGGACACAACGTCGGGCCCCTGACGGGATTCGAACCCACGACCTTACGGTTGCGAGTCCGAGAGCCTAACCACTAGGCCACCGACGCCAAATATGTGAGGCCTTGGTGTTGGTTTACAGGTCCAAGTCGTGGTGGCTTTAGGGGCGGAGTAATTTATTTTGTTTGCGACTGGGGTGGGTTGAGCGGAAGGGGAGGGGTGCGATCTTAAAGATCTTGATGTAGAGTGACAGTTCTTACACCAAATGATTTCCCATCGCTACGTGCGGGGCTAAAGTGGGTTGCACACCTATATGACGCCTTCCGATTTTTGCTGGATCTGCCGTTAGGCGGAAACCTCATCACTACATCAGACGCGCTGAACATTTACGCGGTGAGATTGTGCAATGCCAGCCGTTCTAGTTTTGTCTCGGTTTAATTAAGTCGGCTGGGAAACGGGCGGGAAATACTAGCATGTAATTCTCACTATCCCTAGTTTGGATACACGTCATTGTGGTCTGAATAGTAGGGATGATTATGGGTATGGTGGTGGTGGTGGTGGTAGTAGTAGTAGGAGCAGGAGCAGCAGCAGCAGCAGCGGCAGTAGCACTTGTAGGAGGGGTAATAATAGTAATATCTACTTAATGATGATGGTTATTGTGCTTCTGCTGATGATGATGATGATGAATCATCGTTATCATCTTCACCTTTTTCTGATCGGGCAATTTAATCGTTATTCCTTTCTGTAAAAAGATTGTCATTATGGTTAAATAACCGGACCAGCCTTTGACTTTGAAAGAGGCCGCAGTTCATTAGTACCTTATTATTTGAGCTTGTTGCATAGGGCACCATACCGTGTCCATGTGAAAATTTATTCATTCTGATTCTTCTGTTTGATTAATGAGCATTGTCCAACCCATATTCTCGAGACGATCCACTGTACTCACCCGACTAGCTGAGTATGTGTGCATCCTACTATATCTGCTGCACAGTTCAGTAGCTTTCGCTGCTTGAGATAGGAATCATTGGGCCGGTCGGGTTTTCCTGATAAGAGCATTGAAAGAAATTGGATTGTATCGAGTACTTCCTTTTTCTTGTAAGAAATTCTCCCTTGAAACAAGGGAGTGATTGGATAGCGCCTCCTCATGGTTCTTTCTTCATTACTTTCCCATCTGTACATTCTGTCACTCTTGATCGTTCATCGATTCTGATAATTGTATGCGTTCTTGGGCCTCTCTTTAACTCACCCACATAAATAAACGTTTTTATACTACATAACCCCCCCC